ATGCTAATTGTATAGTAGCTTTAGGTTACTTTTTAAGGGTAGCTTCTGCATTCATGTAGCTAGTATGGGAATTATTGTGGTGGGGTTTTTTTTTAAGAATTATGACCCTGCCAGGTTTCTTCTAGTGTATTCTGCCCCCCAAAAGCGAAACAATATTTAAGAGACCAGCAGCGACATCTCATTGCTTAATTAGTAGAGAAATATGCAGATAGTTCTTATTTTAAAAAAAAAGATGGAAAAAAAAAATTCTTGAAAATGAAATGATCTGATGGGCCAAATATAGCCTCATTGGGGCGGAAAATCCCCTGTTGGCAAGTTTGATGAAGTTTTATGAGAGCAGGAGAAATGTTTTCTGTTGCGCACCATATTAGCTACGCTATATGTATGTCTTAAGTTTTCTTAATAGACAATAAATCCATCTCCTTTCCTTGTTAAGCGTAGGGGAATACTTTAAATTCTCACACCTTTTTAATAGTCTCTGAGAATTATTTTCACATGGAGACCTCTCATCTCACATAAAAACTGTTATTTTGAAGGACTAGGCTGTTTCTTTAGAAATATTCTTATACTGAGCTGCTCCAGCAATGTTTCTGTCTTCCTGCAGGATTGGAAAGGCTGAACAAAATTGTTTTCACAGTGAAATTTTCCAGAGCAATAATAAGTATCACAGGACTGTTCTTGTTTAATAATTTCTTAATATTATGATTTTACTAAACAAAAAATAATCAGTGACTACACAGAGTTAACATTTGAACCAACCAGCCTATTGATTTTACTCTTCCTAGAGTCATATTTAGAAAGGGGAAAAAAACCCAAGACAACTACCATGTTAACATAGGAATAAATTCCACATAGAAATAGCACATCTGATCATTTCATGAAATGAAAATACTGAAGGGGCAAGAAACTGGAATTTCTGACACAAGGTTTTACTTATTCAAATGTTCTTTGAACTGTAGCTTCATCCAGACAGGAGCAAACAAGCTGTCTGCATTTCTTTATCTATGTTTACTGTAGGCCCTCCTCCACAGCTGCTCCGCTTTTGCTTTAGCTAGATTTACCTAAATTTCCACAAATGCAAACCCCAATTTCCTTAACCAAGCTGCTTTTGTTCGAGCACAGTTTACATGAGTTTTATTACACAACTAGAAGTTTTTTTTTTTTTATTCTAGTAACATTCTATTGCAGTTTATAGTAGTTATATATGAGTTACCATGTTATAATGAAATCATGAAATTAGCTGTGGTACTTTTGTGTTTAATCCCATCCCTCCAAAAAATTACTAAACAGATTTCTGTTTAAATTTATTCTTGATTCTTAAAACATTTTCAACCCTCTACATATTATGGCTGCACTTTTTTTGCATCTTGGAAAATTTAGTTTATATATCTCTATTGAAACATTCACAGGGGCAATTTTCCTTCGATATTTGCACGAAATTCTTTCAGATTATAGTCCGTTGATTGTAAAATCTGTTTTATTCAGCCTTTGGTACTGAAAACTCAGTGCTCCAGGGAATATTTTTCAACTATTTAGAATGCTGGATTCTCTCATGCTCACAAGCACAAAGACACTTACCCTTTGCACTTAGCAGGTGTTTAAATAAAAGAAAATAATGAAATTTGGGCAGTGTTAATTTGATAGAGAAAAAAAGCAGTTTTTTTCCAAGGGATCATTTAAGTTTAGAAATAATAAGAGAGACTTGTACTTGCATTTCCTGTTTAAATTCAGTTCATTTTTCTTGACATTCCACCTGCCATTATGACTGGACAATCTCTTGAATAAGAAAGATACTCTCATACAGTAATCTCTGTCCTAAGGAGGATATTGCTTCTTGAAGATTTAAAGGAGAAGAAAACAGCTACCATTCTGCTTATTTTATTCAGTCAGATTACGTTATGTTGCCACAGATGCAATAGCAAGAAAGCAGTATGTGCAGTATGTGTTACCAAGCAGCATTCTTTACACAGTTTTGTTACGAACAGTCCTAGGAGCCATCCTAGAGAATATGCAAATTACACACACAGTCTAAACACACTGCCTTATTTCTATGCGATCCACTTCCTCTTAATCCTGCTATATTAACCCTTTGGTAGATAATGATTCAGATTAATTTCAGATACAGTTAAGATCTATGATCTTAGATACTGCTTCTGCCTATTTCTCCAGCAACAGTGAGGTTTCTCCAAGACTTTGCCCAGATCACTTCGAGGTTTATTTGAGAGCCTGCTACAGATGGAAGTGGATTTACTTGTTTTGTCCAGGAGCCATAAAGATGTTCAAAAAAAATGCAGGTTAAGAGCTTCTACCACATATATATATATTCTCAGTCAAAGAAAGAAAAGGGTCACTAGTTATAACCTAATGACACATAACAAACATATACTTCATCTAAGGGTTAGAATAGCCTTAGTGCTAACAGTCAGCCTCTTTCTGCTCTGTACTTGGCCATATATGCATGCTTTGATCTAATTCTCTGCCTCCCAGAAAGTGTATACAATTCACAATGCAACAATATACAATTAACGCAGGCTTATGCTCCTCCAAGTTTTCACAGTACCAAGCATTTTCAATATTTCTGGTAGGAAAAGAAAAATCCCCTTAAGACGACTATTTTGTTATTCTTGGGCACTCTGTCCCTCTTGTCTCCTCCGAGTCTCCTGCAAACTATGCAAATCATTTCTTACACTGCTATAGGCAACAGAGTTCAGATAAATCCCAAATGACCTGCTAAAGCATAGATTCCAGTCCCTTCAGGTCATAGCAATAACGTACAAGTCCAGGGGTAACTTACAACACATCTGCATGCTCATATACTTCTATGTCAACTGTAACTAAAGTCTACATATTCCCCGTATAGACATCACACGTGATGAAAGATCACAAACCTACCTTAAATTCTATGACAACTGCCACTATCACGCAAGGACTCCGGCTGAAGCTGAACCATGTGCACTTGTCTTCAGGCTGATCTGAAGTGTCCCAAGGAGCCATTAAGGCTGACAGTATAGCACTTCTCATGGTTTTGCAGAATTCCAGGGTCAATCCTGAGTACAGAACATCTTTGAGGACTACATAATTGAAATACCAGATTACATTTTATCAAAACGTTCTGAAGCTATTAAAAATGTCTTGCAGCCTCCTAAATGCTTCCCATTATGCACTGACATAATGAACTGAGTCCCATACTGCACCTTTGTCACTATAACTGAAGGCTTAGCTACAGATTACGATACTACTGCCTTGCTATGGACCCTGATACTTAAAAGCCTAGGCCCATTTCTGGAAAATGTCAGCATTTAGTGAACTCCGTCCTCTTCTAGCTAAAACACCTTTCCCTTCTGTAGGGACAAAATACTATTAAACCACAGCCTCAGTTTTGTTTTGTAATTATACCTATTTGTCTATCCTTCCTCTTAAAAGTTTCTCCCATTACCAGCAGAAAAGATGGAATATACTACAACTGTTTCCAGATTTTTTAGTATATCAGGAGGATCAAACTCTTTAGTCTGGCTCATTTAGAGGCTCTAAAATCACTAGCAAACATTTCCATTGAACTAGCAGATTATATTTTGCCAAAACACTAGAAATACCTTTTACCTGCTTCATAAACTTGCTACTCTTTGTGGTTGGTAAGACAATAACATGGTGAAATACATTAAGTGTTATTAAATACAAAGCACTTGTTACAGCAGTTGGGTTGAATTCCAGGTCAGGGGGGCTGTGTCTCAGTCACAGTTTGCCTTATATAGAGAGCTCAAACTGTTCAGTCTTGCTATTCAACTATTACCATCACCTGTACTGAGATTCACCCAGAAGAAAACAAACAAACCCCAGTTAATTTACTTTAGGTGACTGAGACTCAGTTCAGAATTGGCCATATGGCCCACTCTCTGCAATTGACCTGAGTGGAAAAAGAGAAAGGATCACGATTATTACATATTTTCTGAATTGCTAAGGACCACGAGGAGCCAGCGTATGTGCAGCATCTCAGTAAATTTCAGTAGAAGCTATGCCTCTAAGACACCTTATGACTAGTGTAAGGTGTAGCAATATGACTTATTGTAAGTAAAATTTTTAATTTAAGGCTGAACTTATAATCAAATCAAATATATGTACATAACAGAGTTTTACTCAGTTTAATTTCAAGTTCAAAGTTAGTAGCTGTCTTCTACTAAATGAACTATGTTAATCATTTACTGCATTACTTAATCAAATAGAAACCAACCATAAAATTAAGCTCTTGGAAGATGATTTGACTAAAAGTGCAAATATTTAATGGGAAGTGAGTCTTAATTAATCAGTTGCATTGTAAGTGACTAAAGAGCTGCGTGTTAGGTTAAAAATGAGAGTCACAAAAATATGGACCTTCTATTTTATGACCAATTTTACAGCGCAATAACGACACATTGCAAATGAAAACTTCTGTTTTGATTTTCCTTGATGTCTATATGCTTACCTGATGTTTCTTTCATTTTAAGTAAGGTTAAAATGTAGTTGATAAGCTAGATAATTAAATTTCAAGAAGGTTTTACTAGCAGAATACTAAATATACTAGAACATATTCTATTGCAATATCAGTAAACAGTTGAAATGTATGGTCAGTTCTGCAATGAGCTCCATTAAACAAATGAATACTATAATGTATAAAGCTAATTAGAACACAATATATCTAATTAAATTTGTTATTCATAGTGCTTAGAATCATTTTTATAGTATAAAATAATGCACACGTAACCCTATCAAGAAAAATATGCAATACTTCCTGTGTAAAATTGCGTGTGCTTTAACAAAAAGCTTTTTGTTATTTCCCTGATGAACAGCAGTTTCAAAAACTCTGTTGAATTAAATATTTCCATACTTTATATATTTTAAATCAAAAATAAGGTACAATTGCTAAGAAGTTGATCAAAATGTTCATTTCTGCTACTGCTTTTCTGTAAAGATTTGAAAAGAAATGCACCTATTTCCTTCTGAGAAAATATGATGTCTGATTGTAGTTACAGTGGGTTGTCCCAACACTGTTAGAAGACTACCAGAAGAGAACACTCCCGGGAGTGGTAACACATCGCTGGACTTCCAGGACACTATCTCATTGAAAGAAAGAATGGCTATGTATCAAGCTGCTGTGTCCAAGGTAGAGAGCAGCAGCTCCTTTGCTAATGTAAGATATTACATTTAATTACCCTCTTAATTCTATATTTTACATGATGACATTTCCTGCATTCTTTATTCATACAAGCCGTCAGATTGATCTCTACATAGATTAAACCTGAAATCTAAATTATTAAATCTACCTAGCAAACACACTGATACACCTGTATCTCTCTCTAGTCAATGCAATTTTTCATACAATACCTTTAGTCTTTTGGCCAATTCATTTTAATTCAGTGGAAGTACTTTTCTTTTACTTCCACTCTTGCATGTACTTCATTTATTAGGAAGGTCTTAGTCAACATAGGTGTGAGAGAGATTAGCAACACAGTTATTCCATTAACTAATAATTTAAAAAAACTAGCATTTTCTGTATTACTATGAATATTTAAAATCACCAAATAACAACATCATATTCAAAATATATTAAGCTTAGACCTCTTGCTGTTCAAACTAAAGAATCTGAAATTACTCTATTACAAAACAGCAGCTTTAAGGTTTAAGAAAAAGTATTGTTTTATAATAAAATTATCAAAAAAGACATTTGTTATGTCAAAATAATATTTAGAAAAGGCTTACTAATTTTGCTGCATTACTTTCTATAAATCTGTCAATACAGACTGGTTATTTTACCGAAACGTTTAATGTTATTACTAAGTAACATACAGTATTTGGCCAACAGAACTTGTACTCCATTAAAATAAAGCTACAGATTTCAAATGTCATTTACACCTGTTCATGCTTTTTCTTTTACCAGTGTAGTTACTAGTACAGAATACAAAAAGTCTGTATAGGATTGGTAATTCCTGCAAAATGTCTGCGGAATTATAACACCAGGACAATTAATGTAGCAGAATTTTCTAAATCTGACTTTAACTTTCCCAGTATTTCTGAGCACCTTCTCAGAGTATACATAAGAACTACTATATTGCCATAACTTGAGAGCAAAAGGAAAAGGAAGAGCGAACTGCCACAGCAATATCTGAACTGAATTCAGAGCCAGGATCTTAAATATGTGCTGGAAATAGCAAATATTATTAAGATTTTGCTGTTAGAAAATGTGAAAAAAAGAATTGTTCAGAAAATGGATAAATAAAAAAAGATGAACAAACAGTTTGCAAAACAAACAGAAGACTCACTAAAATAAGGTGATATTCTTCATGCGCTTCTACTTTTTTAGAATTCCTAATGCAATGGAGGCAAGTGGTAGAGACTATTTAAGGAAGTCAAAGGTACTTTAATTAAAGGAAAAAGAGCTATTTTTTTCACTCAGTTAAGTACTATAGAATATACTAGAAAACAGCTTATATTTTACATGTAGTGAATAATAAGGAGAGCAAAAAATTCATTTATAATATTGCTGGGAAACCAAGGAAAGAAGCTGGTCATTGACTTCAAAAACCCAAGAAGACACAGACAGATGATAAAAATATTAGGGGAAAAAAAAGACACTAGCATCATAGAATCACAACGCAGGGTACAGGTAGGAAAAGCAACATGAAATTATGTTGTGATAACAAGATCTTCCTATTTGTTCACTGCAATAGAAACTCTTCAGTATTATAAAAAATATGGTAAGTTTTGTAAACATAAGAAAGTAGCAGGTTAACAAAAGCTTCCTATCTCCCTAGAGAAGTTCAATTACACATTCCACAAAGCTTTTGCTAATATAATAGCAAGGCTCAGAAATGTATGTCAATACCAAAAGGTATGAAACTTTGGGTTCGTTACAGCTTATAAAGTTTATGGAATGTCTAGTTTAGATATTGCTGTCTTGGGTATTTCAACTGAAAACCTTTTGGTTGTATTCAGAGAGCTTATTGCTTAAAAAATAATGATGCTAGTTACTTGTATAATAAGTAATTTAAGTATTATAATATATATATGAATAATATATATGAAATAAGTAACTTAAGATTTTTATTTGTTTGTATTGTACTGTTTATCTTCTATCTTAGTCTGAATAATTATCTCAATATAGATTTGTTTTACTTCTGTTATATAAGTAAGATATAATCATGTAGGATTTTCATAAAACAGCATTCTCTGACAAAAATGCTATAGAATGAATTTATATAGATGCCACTGTTAAAGTGATAGCCATGACTAGAAGACACTACTTTATAATTTTGCACAGTGTGAAACCAATAATAATTCAAAATTAAATATTAACATGATATTCAAATATCATACTATTCATAATATAGAATAGCTTCTATAGATACAAATGCAAAAGGCTGAGAACATGAAATCCTGCAGTCCAGCACAGTAATTTTGCACCTTCTATCTAAGGTATGTCTCCCCTTATTATTATAGTAGCAGAGCACTTCCCAACACATTTATCTATCATTCAGGAAAATCTGCCTCAGTTCTACTGAACTGAGGCACAGAAATACTAAGGGATAAAAAAAGATATGGTATTTTTATCATATCTTAAAGTTCTAACTAGAAGTCGTAGTTCAACTATCCCTTATCAGGAAACGGGAGGTGTTGGCTTGGTACAATGTTGGAATGACAAGTCTTTGTTTAAGCAAGGATTTTAGCAGATGGGAAGAATGCACCTTTTTCTTACTGTAAACTAAGCCAGAGAGCGTATCTGTGGCAAAACAATGGATTTTGGTTCTCACTAGTCACCAGCCAGCTGCAAGAAGAGCTGTAGAAGGACTCCCATTCTTACCTGCAATTTGATTGTGAGAATAACAATTCGCAGCTACTGAATTGGCCTGTGTGTGCTCAGGCAGCCCAGAAGCCACGCTACATGCAGCACTGGATCAGCACTCTGAAAACAGCCACCAGCCACACTCACCTTCTGAGTCCGGATGTTTTCAAATGACCAAATTCCTGCCTGTTTACTTCTTTATTTTGTAATTGCCTTTGTGTATTTGGCGTAAATTCCAAATTTGCTAAACATCTTCTGAGAAGGTTCAAATTCCCTGCTTTTGTAACTAGAGACACTGTTAAAATTAAACATCTCTCTCAAAAATAAAAAACTCTATTAAGCTTGACACAAGAATGTTGATACATATAAACTACTTCATTTACGATCTAGAACTCTTCATAAATTCTTATTGAAATGGATGGTTGTTGGAATAAGTACCTGTATATCAGATTCCTTTAAAATGAATTAACATTTATGCTTGAATGAGCAATAATGGTATTTACCCACTATAAATATCACCAAACAGCTGACAAAGGGTGCCTAAAATGTTCATTCACTAAAATAATTGCTTTTTACATTCATACATCTATGTGTAGAAACAATTGCACCTTCTGCATCCTAGGGAGAAAAAAATGCTGCTTTTTTAGAACCTGCTTAGTTACACATCACCTGTGAATACTAGTTACCTCAGATGACTTATTCGTTACAAAGAAATTTCTAATTATTGTATGTTTTATGTTCTGTATATTGATTAATAAGCCCAACATGCTGAAGGCTTCTTTCTAGTACCATATATGAGATAACACACAAGGGACAAAACTAGAATAGGGAACCTGAGGATAAGGGCACTTTTCTGACCTTTGTCACTGTTGTCGGTGAAGGACGAGCATCTCACAAAGGCCTCTCTACGCTTTTCAACAGTACCTACCGATAGAGTACAGAGAGGGCCAGGTTGCAACTTGGAAGAAAAAAGAACTCAGAATATACAATTAGAAGAGGGAACATGGGAGAGAAGGACTGTTTTGCATAGTGATTGCTACTAGATTCGTTTGAGGTGGCATCTACTACTTCTGATGTTAAAGATTAAAACCAAATATACATACATTTTTCAAATACAGATAGTCCTTTCATTTTCTGAAATTCAGTTTATGACTCCTGTACAGAGGTCTTTGAACTTGTAATCAACAGTATTTATGAGTGTTTGTTTTCTCTGCTGATGACTGTGGAATTCTTAAAAATACGTTGCTGAAAATACATGTCAAATCCCTAAAACTACAGAGGAAATCACTGAGTCCTTAGACGTCAATTTAGATAGAGATGAATGTGCAGCTAGAACAACAGGATCTACTTCACATGGAACCATTTAGCAATTAGTATTAAAATAAATTCTAACTGTAAAATTCCAGAAGAACTTCAAAACTTGCAAGTCTTAATTTTTGGTTGATAAGTAAAAGTCCTAAAATAGGCCAATGAAATTTAACAATTAATCTTAACAGTATCAATATGTTTTGTATTCTGATGAAAATCCTGTAAAAAATCCTGTCTTATTACTATACCTATTACAATGCTAATATTAATTCATGTGTATTATTAAAATAAGTTTATATCAGATTATATAAGAGGCTAGAGACATAACCATGTGCTTCCAAATTTTCTGATTTACATTAATAAGCATTATAATGTATTGCTATTAACTAATTTTTAAAAAATCAACTCGGAGAAATATATTCTTACCGCAAATGAAAAACAACCGGCCATATTTTATTACACTAGGCTTCAGAGGAAACAGAGCCTTGTACTGTGCCTGGCGGCCTTGCAAGAGTGAAGAAACAATTTGAGAAAGGCCAGATGACCTCTTCACAAAACACCTTTGCTCAGTACCAGCACCAGCACAAGTCCGTACAGGTAACAATGGCATTTTTAATAGCAACAAATGAGGTATGGCCTGCTAGGTAGCTTGAAGGGAAAAATATGATTCTTCGCTTTACTGAACAGTTTTCATTATAGCTAAGAGAATGTTTCCATAATATTCATACTCACAGAATTTCCTCTTTAAGATATACTACTATGATATATTAATCATGTAGTAATCATATACTTCTTATGTAGATAAACTGTCAATATAGACAATTCTAGACTTATGAGTAGAACAGGTTATCATCATAAGAGTATTTTGTGCTGAACCTTGTCTGTAAGATTTAAGTCATTATCAAGTATTATGGCAATAGTTTGCATATATTGTACTTGTAGTGATGTTGAACCATTTTGTTTGGAATGGAATTTGCTGCTTCGGTTGAATTAAATTTAATCAACTCCTCTAAACAGATCAAAAATTGTATCGAAGAACCCAGATGCTACATGAAAATACACAGAGCAGCTTCCAAGTGTTATTTCAAATAAAAGGTCTTTGGATTTTATTACTTCATTAGCATATATCATGAAAAATTGTTGTAGGAGATAATGACTTTGGACTATGTGAAGTCTGGTATAATAAAATTCATTGCACTATCCTGTGCATTCCAAAAAACAGTAATGGCACAGTAAATTGCTTTACCACCCTGCACTTATCTGAGAGTTTTTTAAGTAATATAGCTTTCAAACTTTGTAGAACAGGACACATCAACGTTCTTCTATAGTTTCATTTTTGTGTTAAATAAGTATCATATCTACTAGCTAGCTCTCATTTGTTATACATTAATACCATACCAATATCCACAATCTGTACACTCAACAAGCAGAACTCCAGTTCGGAGGGGAAAAGGGTGTCTTCCTTTAATGAAGCATCCTCTGTATCCAAAGGCAGACAGAGTTTGAAAAATAAATTAATTAATTGTAAGTATAAGTAAGTAGCAGTATCTATTACGTTTCTATTAGAAACTAGATTTGCAAATAAAATATACAGAAGTGTATTTTGTGCACTGTAACTGATACTTTTACCAACCATTTGCTCTCACACCATGTCATACTTTTTCTCCTTTCACTGCATACAAATATGCAATGCACATACACATTCTTTCTCCAATAATCTCTCATCTCTCATGAGGCTGGACAGTCATTTCTGTACTGAAAATAAGTCCATTGGTGATTCCATTCTACAGCAGGTGAAATGAGCAGTTTTCCTTATCTCTAAATAGAATGGCAGAACTAGGAATCTCCTCACTGACAAGAGCTGCTCCTGCAGTCCCTAGTCGTGCAACCAACCCCGGTGAACTGGGACCCAGTTCCTTGTCACACCACCTATATGACAAAATAGACATAATTCCATCCTCAGGTTACATTAATTGACTTCAGGTGAAGATACTGTAGCATAATGCACTGCAGAGTTAAATTGACCCCTGTCAGCAGAGGTATACTGATTGATGTTGGCTGACATGCTGTCCTGGTAACAGAAGCCCTAACTGGTTAGGGTTGTCTAAAGCTAAAAACAAGAACATTCTGTTAGATTTCTGGCAATATTTAAAAATAATTATAAATAATTATACTGTAATTAGCTTTCATATCTCATATGTGCAAATGATTGTTTCCAGGTCAATTAGCTCACAATTTAAAGATCTGCATAGCAAATTTTTTAGATTAAGCAGTTTTCAATATAGAGATGTCATTCAGTGATGAACTATTGAAATATCATGAGTATCATGAACTGCCACAAAAAATCCCAACATGTAATGTTGCAGTGTTTAAAATTAACTGAAAAGAAAGGGGCAAAGATATGCCATCTTAATGCCACATTTAAAAAGCCATCCTAAGGTTTCACCAGGGCAATTAGTAGTGACTTTTATTCTGAGACTGCATAACAATTTCTATTGCCAAAGATTATGTCCCAGTATGATTATGTCCAGTTATGTGGTTTTTCTGCTGAGTTACAAATGCTTTAAAACATCTGCAAACTGTCTCAGTTTACACAGAGAAATCACTGAGGCCAGATTCTCTTCAGGTTTGGCGTCAGGTGTTTGAAGACCGTCATTCCCTTCAGTAGTGTTCTTCGGGTATGTTTTGGCAGTACAGTCCATTTTCTTAATACTTGAGCCCAAGTGCTCTAAACCAGCTGGATCAGACCACTACTGTAAGACCAGTCTCCCAGTAGGAAATCTTCAGTTGGATGAGATCTGTAGATAGGCATAATTGGAGGAACAGTATGAGCTCTGTATATGGGACTATTGCCCATTCTCTGCATTTGTAACATGGCATTTGAGCTCCCACATTTCCATTGAGGGAACAAAAAGCCAGGCCTGGCTTAATCAGTTCCTATCAGATCCAGAAAACTATAACCTCATAAAATAGCCTTGTTATGCTAATAGCTAATTCATTTAGCACAAACTGTATTGCCATGTTGACTAGTCAGTGTTTAAAGTCAGTTACATGCTGAGGATATGTCTCAGTCTGACACGATAGAATTTGAAATGAGATTTTTTTTTTGGCAGCATTAAAATAATGCTGGTTACACTGCAAAATAGACCCTCAGATATGAAAGACTCAGATTTACAGTTACCTCTATGCTTGGGAATATAAATTGTGTTATGTTTTTTCATTACAAAATCACTTTTTTTCCCCACAAAACCTGTGCCAAAGTCAGTGGACAGGCTGGAGGACACTCAAAGGATTTATCAGGGCTGTGTAGTGAGGAAGGCTGCTTGTACTCTCTCTTCATTTTTGATCCAGTTCTATCAGGAGTAAGAAGAAAAAGATAGAAGACTGCAGGAAAAGATTCTTGTGATAACATCAGGTGAATGAAACTAGTAAGACCCAAAGCTGCTTCTGCCTTTGCATCATATAATACTGAGTTATTTAAAAGATTAACTCTTCCTATAACCCTCCTGCTTCTCCAGGTACCGTACTTTAAAGCAAGAATGGGTTATAACATTTGTGTAAGAAAGATGTATTCGAGTTGGCAGAGACTGATTGAATTCCACTCTAAAATATTTAAAGAACTAGCCAAAGCAATCTCCCAGCTATTAACTGAGAGTCTCAGTGTATCTTTGAGAACTCACTGAGAGTCTCTCAGTGAGCGATTGGAAAAAAGTAAATATAATGAGCATCTTCAAAAAGTGAGGAAAAAGAGGATACAGGGATTTATAGAGCTAAATTCAGTATCGGAGAAGGTGCTCAAATACACTGTTAAGATGCACATAGAGGATATTAAAGTGGTAAGAGGGACCCAGCATACATTCTTCAAGGAGAAAATATATTTGGGAAAAAAACAGAGCTGTTATTTGTCATGGTATATTGTGGATTGGGGAACATGCATATAAATTTTGTTCTGTTAGGTATCTCCCTAAATGATCTGGATCAACAGAAAGTAGAATTTACACCGTTTGTGAATACTACCAAACTGGAAGAGGTTGTGAGTCTTCTGGAAGGTAGAACTTGATTTCCAACTGCTAACTGGCAGTGGTGTGAGACCTGAAAGAGACAGAATTCAGTACAGCAAGTAAAAAACACCATTTAAGAAGGAATAGTCAAAAAGTACAAATACGAACTGAAAATAATTAGCTAGAAAGCAATACTGCAAAAAAGAATGCTACGGTGGACTGTAGATTCAGTAGAGGCTATGACAAAAAAGGCGGCCTTGGGATATATGAAGAGTAAGGCATTGCATATAAGAGATAGAAGGTAAGTAATTCTGCCCACTTCAACATGGAAAAAGCCTCACACATAGGCTGTGGAAACTATGTTGGCATTTAAAATTTATCTAGACAAGTATCTTTCAGAAAAGGTATCCATAATCCTGCTTCAGACTAGAAGGATGAGCTATGAACCTCTTGTCGGTCCATTCTATTCCTGCACTGATTTCTAAGGATTTCTTTAATAATTATACACGAGAGGTCAGACTTAAATATGCATTTGGGCAAGTCAAATTCTGTTCTTCTGTGTTCTGAACACTTGGCTTAGAACACAGTTTTCAAGTGCAATTTTGTTTTATACTGCTCCTTCTATTGAATATACCATTTTGCCACGTTATTACTTTCCTATTTCATTATATTTTCTGTCAGATTCAAGAACTTTAAAATTTTTGCTATCCAAAAAGTCAGAATTATCAAAACAATCTAAAACACTGGAGTCTGAAAAACTGGGCTGAAATATCTCAAAATGTTTATTCCCATGAGATTTTCAGTTCTTTCTGCTTACTGAGCCCGGAAAGACCAGAGAAGTCTCTCTCAATGTCACCAATTCTTCTGCTGCACTATACAATACCCTCCAGAATACCAAAGTGTAAACTCTGTGTGTGCATATAAATATCTATATACATACACACATAAATTCAAAATGAAAACAAATAAAATTAATGCTAGATTAAAAAACTCAAAATACCAAACTGTTCTTCCCAATTTGGATCCATGCCTTACAACGGTTTCTGCTTTTCATGTAAGATGCTGTTCTTGAACAAGGGTAACAAAATAGGGCTAGACTGTGAAAAAAAAATATGACTACATAAAGCCATGTAGTACACAGAAATAGAGCCACTGAGAGGAATCCTTGGTGCTGAGGACGTGCTTTCTGCACAGTGCAAGTTTTGGGAATTTTACTTCAAATTAGCTCTAGCGTGGTCCTTTGGGATGGATGCCACCAGTGGTTGTTGGAATGCATTAAGTGCGTTGCTGGTGCACATGTGCTTTACTTTCATCCAAAGGAATCCAGTTCATGTACTCCAAGATTATGCTGAGATGCAAACCAAGGTTCAATAGGGATGATCAGAAAATTCACTTCAGAAGCACGTTCCTGATCCAAACTAAAATACTAACGAAGCTGCACCCACAAAGCACCACTCAGACTCAGAAGCAGACCGGTAAAGTCACAATGACAGCTACAGTTACATTTTCCCTTCATTAGAAAAAAATTAATTTGCTTGACACCAAAATAGTAGCAGATTTCTTTGTTTTTAGGGTATTTTTTAAAATTAATTATGTGGAGCAGAGAATGTTGCTTAAATTCATCTATGTTCATTCTTGATTTTTGTTGTCTTAACATTCTTCACCCAGCTACTTGGGGCTGAAGAAGCAACTGTACCCCTATTCTACACCTCATGATGCATGTTGCTTATTCAACTAAGGAATTTAATAAAACTGAAAAGGAAAAAAGTGAAGGAAGGAAAGGTTTGGAAAAAAAGGCATCTTCTGTAACAGAAAGACCTGTGGTCTAGGAAGCGCAAAGGCTGTTTGGCTCAAGGAACATTTAGTGCCCCAATACATTAACTAGCTTCCACGAAGGCAGAAAGGTGCATGATCTAAACACTGCGGATGACCCTGCACAACACAGTCTTTATTATGACCTGGGCTTAGCAGGACTTGCTGACTTCCTAGGTGGAAATCTCCCCTGGAAAAGGAACCCATCTGCTTACTGATAAGCACACACAACACTGGGGGGTATATTACATAAATGGCCTACTTGTAGATTGGTATCTACATATCACATATATGTGATGCCGCACAATCAAGAACTATATTGATACATCAGTGGCTTTCTCTATAGAACTGAGCACATAGAAAGGCAATAAATAAATAGGCAAATTATCTTTTATTCTCACTCTTGGGGCATTCAGCGCATACATTTATAGATCTTTTAAGGAAACATTTGGGGGTTTTCCTAAAATAAAAGTGACATGCAGTTATCTCTAAAAGCCGATTTCTGATATCATAACCTCTTCCCTCCCTCCCCCCCTCCCACATTCCTATCCTCATAAACGATGCAGTATGCTGTGCAGAGGATGCAAATCAGTGTAGGACAATAAATTTTATCTGGAGGATGGCTGCCCTACTCATGGTGGCTAAGCAAAGAGTGAATTATGAAGGTCATTGCAAACAAGCACCTATCAAATATTTTTTATTGAGAATTCTAAACATTGTTTTATTGGGACTGGCTGAATCCTCACTGCAGCCGCACCCTTCTACTTCTCCCTGATTCTGGAGTTAGCGAGGGCAGTTTAATTCACAGTACAATTTAGGAATACTTTAGAACTCCTTAAGTTGCACTACTTTGCAGCTCTAACTTATAGTACATACTAGCTGCTGGTAACTGCTAATAGTTGTATTTTTTATAGTGGGGGAAGAAAACAACTACTACTTGAGTCCACCTGAGTTTGTAGAGACTCTGAATCTATTTCTTGGTGAGGTGAACTTCTTCCTTTTATTACTGGGAATACCATCTTACATAGCAGCATTATTTTACTGCTTTCCAAAGCAAGAGATAGAAGAGCATGAAATATGCACACCTAAAAAAGAAGCATTTTAATACAGATTTTAATTGTAATTAATTTAAATTCTGAAACAAGACCGCAAACTAATTAACATTGGATTCACTTTTCTAGAAGGAGTTTCATCTAACAAATTGTTTTAGAAAAGCCTGCTAAGCAAGGGCAAACAAAAAAATAATCAAACAAATGCTTGAGAAAGCTCAGAAGAGAGTAGAGACAGGAAACTGAAGAGACCCACGTCTAAGGGAACACTAAAAAAGGAGGAAGGCAAGTTAGGGGAAACATCAGTAAAAATCAGGAGTAATGACTCTACCTTCCTTTTAGCCCCTTCAAAAAACAGTAACTGTGCTCACTACCTAGGTTTGGATAAACTCTATTTTAGTTTGCAGTCTACTGCAAACTACTATAGTAAAATTTCATCACACACCAAAAAAATGCATTTTTTCCTACGTGCAAATTGCTGGAATGACTCTTCTGTCTGAACTTCAGCTGTTCTTTTGATAGCAAAGAGACTATTCACTCCACTGCTATATGGAGGTTTACATTTTTATCTTGCATTAATGTTAATAGGATAAATCCAATTATCTTACTCACTGACTTCACTGCAAATATCTGTAAAAGCTGAGAAGGATTCAAGTCTGAATGAGAAAAAACAGAGAATAAGAAATTTCATTTTTTGTCATTGTAATAGTTTCATTTACTTCTTTCCTTCTAGCCTTGATTTTCACTTCAAAAAAATAAAGCGTGCACATAGTTTTCTGATGACATGACCAACCGTGCTGCCATTTACATGGTCAAAGCAATGCAGAAATATACACAAAATTATGTGACCTTTTCCCTTATTCAGAAACAAATAATTTGACTTCTGTGATGAAAAATTTTGAAGTCTAGTTCTCTAAAACTATGACGGTTCCATTTCTTCAACAAAGATGTGATTCTGAAGCACACTTATCAGTGTATTTGCCCTCTACATCTAGTTGAGGATTTGCTCTCAAACCATGAGCAGAAATAGTCACGTTCACAGGAAATAAAATCACTTAGACTATATGGAAGAGTCTTTAACGTTAGGTTAAATAACCTACTGCAAGACCATAAAATCCCATTTATAGCTAACATAACTGCACTCTCATGGAAAATGGGATTATACACTTAGGTAGTTGAAAGTCAAGGTCACTGAATTACTCCTGGGGCAAAACACAGAAATCAGGTAGTTTGGACACAGAACTTCAGATCTACATAAATTCAAAATATTAATCAAAGTTTAAACGGGAAAGCAACACACTTTTAAACAATAATTTAAATAGCTGAACTGAACATTTTATTCAAATATTGTTTTGGCACAAAGTGGGTGGCTTTTCATTCAAAACGTTTATGACATATGCAAACAATATTTAAGGATTTCTTTCTGTTTTTCTCAGGCCACAGTCACTACTTGTGGCTCTCTTTACTGTAAAGGAGATCTGTTCCTTGTAGAAAGCATCACGTTAATGGTAGAACTCACTAAAACCTTGCACAGAATGGTGAGCAGCAATGAAAGCTGACGAGGGAATTACGATGTGCTCACAAACTAGCCAGAGTTTGTTCAAAGACCTGGTCTTTAATTTGACTACAGGCATTGTGAGCCCCTTTTATACTCAGTGACCAGCTCACAAAGAGGTCATGTTTTCTTCAATATTAACTGTTCTGAAAGCGCCAGCCTAGAATGCTTTGCTACCCAGAGGTCTGGAGCAGAAACTATGCTCACGTGTAAGAGATGCTGAACATCCAGGTTAACGATCAACAGGCCAAGGAGTTAGGAAAGCAATATCATTACAAGATTTCCATAAACACTGGTCAGAGAATTCCCCACATCAAACCCACAAGTCACTGTTCTTCATTGCCAAAATAATTAGATGAACAGTGCAAGTATGGAATCAGTGACTGAAAAAAATCACTCAGAATCAGAAAAGAACTGCTACCAACCACTCTGGAAATGAAAATAATTCCTTTTACCTTGCCACAGAAGCTGTAAAATGACAGTTAGGACTGTTCTGAAGGGTACAACAGCTGCTCAGACAAAATCTCATTATCCAGTGTCAGACACAAGCACTTTCCAGCAAGTGATCTTAACCTCCTACGTAGGAAGGATGAGTGAAATATATCAAAAGCATCTGATTTGCACTCAACAATGTAGTATTGTGCCAGCAATGACACAGGTATAGATAAATCTCCTTCTTTGAGGGTCATTCCAGATAAATTTTTAAAGATTTCTAGGATAGCAATTGGCAATTTTCTAGTGATTACAGAGGCTAATATTGAACAGTAACATGACAATTCAGCGAATGGTGAAAATCTAACCTTTTTATGAAATCGTCCATGCAGTGGCCAAAATAGCATAAATATATATGTAATACTAAGCAAGCCTGAAAAATCACAGAGATGAAGTGCAGAATTACTTATTTTCTAAGAAATCTTTTACAAGATTCGTACAGAATCAGATGATATCATGATAAGAACATCAATATGGAAAAAACGCATAGATTTTGAGGAAGAAATGAAGTTTCATTCCAAGTAAATGATCAGTTAGTCATTCTGTTCTTACTAATTTTATAACCGACGTTTAAGTTTCACAATTTACTTCCACTGCTGACTACAGGGAATTGCAGGTTTGTACATATGGATCATTTAGGACAATTAGTTCAAAATATGCTAATACGTAGATAATGTATTAGTCATCTTCACACAGCATTTATATGATGATCCTAATGTACCGTTTAACTAAAATAAACATGCTTCAAATGTGAGTAAAAGGCTTTCTGTTCTAGGACGTGACTTTGGGCCGTTTGATCCCCACGTTCAGTTTTTTTTTTTTTTTAAATTTTCATACATACACAGAACTGTATACGTGTTTTTATGCACATATGTATATAACATTGTATACACGTTCAGATTCTCAGAGCAATTTTATTTTTGAAAGTAAAGGTATTTTTTGAAAGTAAAGGTCTGTTGTCAAAACAAGGGGAAACTACAAAAACGTCAACACAAAAAAAGCAAACCTTGGTTTCAAAGTACCCAGAACAATTACTGAAAAAACAAATCTTGGCATATTTTGCAGAAAGATTTTTTATGGAAATTATTGCAATGTAGAGGCACTAAAATTGATGTATGGGCCATTAACATATAAAACTCATGTAGCAATTACAGTTCTCTTCAGTAATAGAATCTGAAACCTAAATAAAAATGCACTTCTGTAATATAATGAACAGACATTCTCAGATTTACATCTTTATTTGTAAATAGTACTGTTTTAGTTTATAATGACTTAATATTTATACTAGTTATAGCACATACTATTTATACTAGTAGCTAGAGACCCTTCAGGACACTAAAGCCCTCTGTACTGAGTACTATACAGACATGCTTGAGAGAGCCAACAGTCTGCATAACGGTGACGTTAAACAAATGGAAGAGAATGGAGGACAATGGAAGTCTAAAATACAAGTAAAATGACCATAAGAAACCATTTATGAGCTAGCAGCATACCAGCCATCATCTAGCTGACAGTGTTTTCTGAAGCTCACTAATGACAGGCATAGAACAAACAGATATTAATTGAAAAGTGATTCTCAGGCCATGAGAAAAACAATCCTAATAGCTGTGTTTTCACTCCTGCCACCAGAAATGATATTAGTTCTCCACTTCTGTCCTCCTACCCTGCACAGCTGAAGAGGAGCTGTTCTCACCTGACAGAGCAATATGTGATCTAGCAGGGACCTGATGTGTTTGCACAAGTTTCAGAATTTTAGACCTAGCGTGTGTCTGTTCTCTTCCTAGCTGCAGTGCACCATTTCACAACCTACCAAATATTTATCTCATATTCTGATGGGATGTGTACATAGGAATTAAAAGTTATTTGCACAACTCATTCGTTCCAGTACTAGAAAGGATTTATGTTATTAGTAATTTCCCTATCTTTGTTTCCAGGCCAATTGTTTTCACTACATATTATTTATCCTTAGTGCTCAGCAGGTTTTTCAGATGTCCTTTGTTATTGCATGATGTGATTTATATATATTACACAGTATCATTACACTCTGTAATGCAAAACAAAAAATCACTTCTACATCTATTCTAAATGTTATTCATGCTAATGTAAACATTTAATTAATACTGTACAAAATAGTAATAGTTATCTAAATCCTAATTAATAGTTTACAAAACCTGATTTTCACTTTTTCTACAATTATATAGACCCGAGATATTCAGATCAAAAGTAGCAGAAATTCTGAGCATTACCTTTTCATGAGACGATCGCTCCCAAAATTACACTGGCTTGTTACCTGAATGTAGCTGTAAATTGTTTTCATCCACAAACTTGTCATGTAGTTTTATAATGCAACTCAGCTTGGCCTTGTAATTAATAAGCACCTTGCTTGATTTAATAATGCATGGTATAGCAGGAATTGCATATTCCGCAGAATCAAAACAGAGGGATGAACTACCCACAAGCATAACTGCTAATTAGTATTAAATCCAGACTGTGATCCTCAGCCACAGTCTAGACTGGAAGCAGTACAGAACAACCTTATTCCATGGAGATCATCAAATAATTTTATAGAACATTCTCCAAAACCTACATGGTGTACAAAACGCATCACAAACTCTAATGGAGTAAATTCAACTAATCTTATCTGCCATATCCTACAGTTCATCATTACAGAAGAAGGGATAAAATCATGGGTCATGCTACTCTCCACTTGTTTTGGATAAACTGCTCCAGGTTTTTTACCAGCATTTTACCATCTGTAAATGTAATTTCAATCAGCCCTTTTGACACACACGAGATGAGAACTTCCTGGTCCCTCTTCCTCCCTGCGTACCCAGAGCAAGGCCACGTTATTGTATTGTCAAAATTTGGCCCATAATGTTTAAGCTGCACTTTAGACAGCTATGGTTGTTGTATTAACCTATTATAATCTTTTGTAATATAGCAACTACTTCATAAGCAGTATGAAAGTTACCGTAATAAAATAGCAGTCATGTTCAGATTAGATTTGGTTCCTGACTGTATTAAGCCTAATTATACTCCTTTTTAATACTTCATACCGTTCAAAGGACACATAACGACAAACATCAACATATTTCATGTCTCATGAATGAGCTTTTCCAGTAATGAGGGCTTGACTTACATATCTAAAACATTCACATTAGAACAGAAAAGTATATAGTAAATGAAAAAGTATATATATATACACCTAAATATATGGAAAAGCATGTATACATAAAATGAAAATCATACACTACACATATGCATTAAACAGAAAATGGATGGAACAATTTGCACCCTATTTTCTGTGAACTGCCTCCCTTCAACTTAGCAGGGCATTAACTCTTAAGTCTCTCACGTTGCGTAACACGCTCACAATTGTTACACCTACAGAACTTCCAAGTGTAAATCATGCTCTGCCTTCTTCTCCTCAAGCCTCACCTGCACTTTGACAGTTCAAACTTCACAGTAGGATTAATTTTGAGATTGGTAACCCACAAAATCATTCTGTAGGCCAGTAACTAGCATCCTTTGTTAGGATGATTTTAATCTTAATTTTAATCTTTCATCTTATAGCCGAACCAGACAATTTTACCACAGAGAGGTGGAACCAAACTCATAAACCCCACAAAGGAGATGCGTGTAGTTCTTCCATTATAGAGTCCTTGTTGTCTACTATATGGCCAGTGAATGCTCCACTATATGGATTCAACAGATATGTTAGCAGAGACACAAGCGATGTAGGCATTCCTTAGTTTGAAGGTGGAGCAACACCCATTAATTTAACTATCCAGTGATAAAGCATAAGGGAAAGAACTAATTTATTGTCCCACACTTTGCTGGATTTCAAGGGGGTACCAGGCTTTGAGCTGCAGGAAACTTGCAACTCTTGCTCTGGCTGCCTATCAGCAGTCTCAGAAACACGGCGCTGCCTCCATTTACATTCACTGGGCACTTAGGATGCTTGTGCTGGAGGGACTAGAAGCTCCATTCATTTAACAGCTAATATTCAATAGAAACTAATAGACAAAGCTCCTTCTCATGAAGGAAATATTTAATTTGACATGAGTGAAATGATTTGTTAGATGTCTCTCTGTGCACGTTAGTGTACAAGAGAGAGGAAGAGGTAATTGATCTATTAATATCAATCCTCAGGATTTATTTCTTCTAATCACTGAATCTCAAAGAACTCCATGGAAACTGGTAATGAGATGAAACACAGGTTCAGTGACATGCTCTAAATCAGAAAACAAATCACTGGCAGAATCTAGAGTCAAACTAAACAGAGAAAACCTCAGAAATTAGCTAACACAGACAACTAGAACAGTGCTTTAAATTCTCGACTATGTGCTCAGTATATGCTACGCTTGTCAGACGTCCAAACACAATGGCAGCTCATATATTTTATAAGATTTTCTGCTGAGCCTATGGGTCATGTTTTCCATAGACACAATTCAGCATGTATTTTTGCCTCTAAAGATCTGCATATCATATATGCAGGAAGTCATCATCTCTTATATAGAGAAAATTATTAAATTTACTTTTATGAAGTTGGATTAACCTCACACCTGCTGATAGGAACAAGTTGATGGCACAGCACTTAAAGCCTGAACCAGCTTCCAATTCTCTTCTTCACTTTCCACTATATGTTGTACTTATCCATGCAGCTTTCAGTGTCTGCTGATCAAAGTCTGACTGCACTGCAGTAATAGAAATGACTTTGCAGCTTCTCCAATATAAAAAAAAAAGCCTTTTGCAAATCTTACAGATACAAATATCAATAATTGCACTCAGATGAAAAATGACTGCTTTACATTGTACCATTTAAATTATAATTTATTTGTAAAAGCCCTTCACAGGCAAAAAAAAAAAATCAATTTACTATTAGCTGTTAATGTGTAATTATTTTTATTTATCTTTAGGAGATGTCAAGTAGCAGTCAGCACATAGTATCAAGCAGCAGCAGGGAAACTGAACACAACGAAATCACCTCCAAAGAAAGTCAAAAGGAAGCCCTTCAAACAGAAGAGGTAACTGTCTCAATTAATTATGTCATTTGAAAATTCTACTGAGATGCTGATACACGTCTGATTTCCTTCCTACTCCGTTACCACATAGTACAGCAAGATCTTAATGTTCTGCTGATAGCCTCCCTCGTTTGGTAGTACATAACACTTTTTTAAAAGGTGCTTTATAAGTGTTGTTGTAATGTGGTAATTAACAGGACTTCCCATTCAGATTTTCCTTTGATGTAACATTTCAAATACAGTTCGAGAGGTATGGAAAACTCTTATATATTGTACTATATCCTGTAGTAAAATGAAGGTTTTGTACACAGATTTCTCATCATGAGCAAGTTATTCAAGAGACAAAAGAGGTTTCTACGCTCTTTCAGCACACTGATGAAACAGGTAAGAAGTAGCATGAAAATCTAATCACAAATCAGCAATGGCAAATACCCTTATTCACATAAATGTACCTGCCTTTGCATACAAACATGAAAACATACATTGCTCCGAATTCATCAGTTAATCCTTATTCAGCAAAATAGATCCCATTGAAGTCAATGGATGTAAGAAACGCATTTAGAATTAGGTATACAGAAATGGGTTTTGCATAAGGAGGTGGTTTTGAGCATGCAGATAGCTGCTTTAAAGAATTTGGCGCTTAAAGAATCATCTGAAAACATATGCAAATGCTAGTCCGTGTATATACAAAATTGTGGATGATTAAAGGTCAATTTATAGCTAAAATGAATGGCCCTGCAGCAAACGTCTACATAGTGTTCAGACACTGCTTCTGTAGTTTAGTCCTGATATTAACAGAATTCCTGCATTATATTAATCCACAGGGCTCAGTCAACTTTTAGTCCTGCCATTCACACAATTCAGGCAGTGCAAAGCAGCAGGTGATGACATGTCCCTCAGCAGTTATTCTGTGGTTCTCTTTTTCCATTCATTCATGACCAAGTCCAGAGGTCTGCAAGGCCGAGTGTAATTTGTCTAGTGTAACAGTGTTTTATACATCACCAAAGAAGTCAATTTCATAAAATGCAGGGTGGAGAAAAATGTATTTATTTTTTCTTTCCATTGCAGTAGTCAATGCAGCTATGAATGAAGAGTTCCCAAAGATTTCAACACAGGTTTTAAAGCAGCAGTTTGAAAGGACAGCTCAGGAAAAGGCTGTTCATTCTGACAAGGAGACTGCAACACCTGCCAAGCAAGTAAAGGTCTGTGCTTTTAATAACAGGAATCATTCTTTATACAAATAAAAAGCATTGAACTTAAGACATTTATCTGTCATACAATCTGAATTTCTATTTTAACTATTTAATTGTGATTAAAAATGTAACCTATGAAAGTGGAGGGAATATAGAGAGTTTAGAAATCAAGTGCACATAAATAATATAAAGTGCATTAGGTAGTTCAGCAAGTATTTACACTACCAGATGAACACAATTAAAAGTAGAACTTTATACAACTTTTGCTTTTCCTGTCTTCCTCTGCTGAAAGCAGTCTCCTCTTTCCCTATTTTAAATCTGTAAATCTGTATCATTTCTGTCACCATAGTTCTCAGAAGCATAGAAAATATGTTTCATAAGAAAGGAAAATGCATATAAACCACAGCATAACTATTTATGCTTATAATGCAAAGTGTGCACTTGTTGCAGCAAAAGCCCCAAGACTGCTAAATCATCATTTTTCATTTTGCATGAACTTCACATTTCTTTTCATATATATTCTATGGTGCAATAGCACATCCCTTAGTTCTAAGAGTTGCTTTTATACGGTTCTGAGCAACCGCTGATGGATTGCGTCTTTCCAGTTCCTATTACAATTCTATTGCACAGGTCCTTGCAGGGCAAGGCTTTCGTGAAGAATAAAAACAAAGTTTCTGATCATAGAAATTGTTTTGTGTGTTATATATATTCTTAAAAAAAATTTACCAATTTTGTTCCCTAAAGATTGAAAATGGGTACCAGGAAGTTATATGGCCTTCAGCAGTTAGTTGTTCTTCCACTACTACTACTTCAGCAAGTAGACTACATGAAACTTCTACAGCAAGGAAAAAACAGTATGGAACTGCTGCTTCTGCAATGCCTTACGCCAGGTCCCCTAAATATGGGAACACAGAAAGCTTTCCCACTACTTCGGCACCAGCTCCATTGGAAAAGACAGAGATTTCCCAGTCCCCTGAACCATCCACCTCTCCAAAGCCCATTATCTCCAAAGATTTGTACTCAAAGCAAAGAAACTTATATGAATTAAAACGTTTATACAAACATATTCACCCAGAATTAAGAAAGAGCTTAGAAAAAGATTACTTAAATGAGATTTCTGGTATTTTATCTAGTGAATCTGAAGCAAGGAATATAACGTCACGAGATGTACAGCAAGCTAGATGTGTTTTTGAAAACACTATTATCCCTCAAAAGTTTACAAGCCCAGAAAAAGAGTATTTAGAATGGGATGAAATCCTAAAAGGTGAGGTTCAGTCTATGAGATGGATCTTTGAGAACCAACCTTTAGATTCAATTAAAGATGACTCTCCAGACCCAGACAAAGTTAGAAGCATTGCAGAGCAAGAAATCATTGCAGGTGGAGATGTTAAATACACAACCTGGATGTTTGAGACTCAGCCTATCGATGCACTGGGCGCACATTCTTCAGAATCTGCGGAAACTATGGACAAGATTCCAGAACTAGCTAGGGGAGATGTTCGCACAGCCACATGGATGTTTGAAACTCAGCCACTGGACTCTATGAATAAAATCTATCATGATGAAGAACAAACATCAGATGAGACTTGTATTAGAGAAATTTCTGGTGGTGATGTAAAAACTGTGAGGTATATGTTTGAAACACAGAATCTGGATAAACTGGGGCAGCTATACTCAGTGGATGAAGTTAACTTGTTGCAGCTGAGGTCTGAGCTTAAAGAGATTAAAGGAAATGTGAAGAGAAGCATAAAGCATTTCGAAACTCGGCCACTGTATGTTATCAGAGACAGCTTAGGTCAAATTCTGGAGATTAAAACCGTCTGCCGAGAAGACACTGAAAAAGGGGACGTCAGAACAGCACGCTGGATGTTTGAAACGCAGCCTTTAGACATGATTAACAAAGACCCAGTGGAAATTAAAGTTTTACGTGGAATCTCTATGGAGGAAAATATCAAAGGTGGCGTGCACAAGGCAAAATGGTTATTTGAAACACAGCCTTTAGACACTATTAAAGAGGATTCAGAGGAAATGATCACTCAGAAGGAAACTATTGTAGGGACAGATGTTTCCAGAAAGTGCTGGATTTTTGAAACTCAGCCTCTTGATGCTCTAAATGATAATGATGAGACATCTCATCCACCTCCTAAAGAAATAATAGGAGGTAACGTAACTGGTACTAAACATTTATTTGAAACTTTACCAATGGATGCATTAAAGGACAGCCTAGATGTTGGGAAACTTCAAAAGGTGGTTACTACTGCGGAAGAAAAAGGTGATGTAAAACATCAGAAACTGATTTTTGAGACTAAACCTCTCGAACAGATCAGAGAAGAAAGGAAAGAAATTGTCAGAACAGTAAAGCTTGAAGAAATCGACAGAGGTGATGTGAACAGCTACAAAAATATATTCGAAGCAAGCAATTTAAAAAAATATGATGAATCACAAAAAATCCATGTGGAAGGTGTAGCGAGAGGAGCTGTAGAGCTGAACAAAGTTCTTTTTGAGACAACTCCTCTCTATGCAATTCAAGACAGTCTTGGTATATACCATGAGGTTAAAACAATTAGGCAAGAAGAAATTTTAAGAGGAGATGTAAGGAGCTGCAGGTGGCTATTTGAAACAAAGCCTCTTGACCAATTTGATGACAGTGATAAAAAAATCCAAATTATCAAGGGAATATCTTCACAAGAAGTAATTTCTGGTGATGTGAAAACAGCTAAATGGCTGTTTGAAACGCAGCCTCTTGATGCTATTAAAAATTTTAGCAATACAGGAGAAGTGGAAGAAATTAAAGCAGAACAGAGGACAGATATTGTTAAGGGAGATGTAAAAACATGTAGATGGCTTTTTGAAACACAGCCCATGGAATCACTGTATGACAAAGTTGAGGTAGTGACTGACAACGAAGAAATACATAAAGGAGATGTCAAAACCTGTACTCGGCTCTTTGAAACACAGCCACTTGATGCAATAAAAGATGGATCAGAAATAACAGAAGAACTACATACTGTGAATCGGGAAGATATTCAAGGAAGTGACGTCCGTAGAGCATGTTGCCTTTTTGAAACAGAAAATCTAGAAAATATACAAGGAGAAGGGGGGAAGGAAATAAAACGAAAAATGGAAATTGATATTCAGCCTGGAGATGTTTCAACTATGAAGCATAAATTTGAAAGCCACTCATTAGACTCCATAAATTTCAGTTCAGAGGAAGTTCTGGAAAAAATTAAAGCTATTCAAAAACAGGATATACAGAAAGGAAATGTTTTACATTGCCGATGGCTTTTTGAAAACCACTCAATTGACACTATAAAAGAACACCATGAAGACAGTGCCCTAGTCAAAACTGTAACAGATATAAAAGGGGGAAACGTGAGGAAAAGCTGTTTTATTTTTGAGACTTTTTCTTTGGACCAAATTAGAGATGAATCTGAAAATACTAGCACCAAGAAAACCATTAGCAAAGAGGAAATAACAAAGGGAAATGTTAAAAACTATAGAATGATGTTTGAAAACCAATCACTTTATGCAATTCAGGACAAAGAAGGGAATTATCATGAAGTAACAACAGTTAAAAAGGAGGAAGTGATTCATGGAGATGTACGTGGAACAAGGTGGTTGTTTGAAACAAAACCTCTAGATTCTATTAATGAATCAGATAATGTATACGTTATTCGAGCTGTCACTCAGGAAGATATTCAGAAAGGAGATGTGAGCTCTGTCAGATATAGATTTGAGACTCAACCATTGGATAAAATTTCAGAAGATGAAAAAATAATAGTGCCCACTATCTGCACTGTTGAAGGGGCTGATGTGAAGGCCAGCAAACAGTTATTTGAGTCTGAAGAGCTAAATAAAAGCACATATATAAGAACAGTGAGTGTCAGTGAAGTCCAGCATGGCAATGTTAAAACTGCCACTTGGTTATTTGAGACGCACACTCTAGATGAGATTAGAGCAGAGGGATCAGAATATAAAGATGTTAAAACAGTCACAAAGGAAGATGTGCAAAAAGGTGATGTTCGGCATGCAGTGTGGCTTTTTGAAAACCAGCCTTTGGATTCCATTAAGGAAAGTGATGAAAGTGAAATAAGAATAGCCAGGGAAGACATTCCACAGGCAGATGTAAAAACAACAACGTGGCTTTTTGAAACAACACCTTTCCATGAATTTAATGAAAGTAGGGTTGAAAAGCAAGAAATCATAGGCAAAAGTATCACAGAAACTTTAAAAGAACTTTACTCTCAAAAAGTTGTGGAATCTCATGGAATTATCATCGAGTCAGATGAAATTGGGGATGTCAGAATGGCAAAATATAAACTAATGAATCAAAAGACACCTGAAATACAGAAGGAAGAGATTATTAAAGGGGATCTAGGCAACATAATGATGAACCTGCTGTCCAGAAAAAGTACTACCAAAAAAGAGATTGTAGTAAATGATGATGAAAAAGGCAACATCAATTTGACCAAAGCTCAGTTACTGAACAGATCAACAGATGATCATGTTGAAAAAGAAGAGATAGTGAGAGGTGATATACAGCAGGCTATAAAAAAACTATTTAGTAAGGATAGCTCCATAAAACCAGGAATTTTAATTCAGGAAAATGAGAGAGGTGACATTAACATGACAATATATTCTCTCCTTCACAAAAAGGATGACAATAAAATTCAACGTGATGAAGTGATAGGTGGTGATGTGAAACATACCATTCACAGCCTTCTGTCTTCTATAGCAAATAATGAAATATCAGAACGGACTAAAATAGAAGAAAATGAGAGGGGCAATGTTCAGTTTTTCACAACGTGCATAGAAGCTGGAGCTCTGGATTATCTGAAACTGTTCCAGACAGGGTCAGATGAAACACTGACAATCAAGAAACAAGAGGAAGATGAGGAAATAATTGCTGGTGATGTAGAAGGCACAAAGCTGTTGCTAACAAAACGTAAGTTCCCCATTCAACGTACAGTTGCTGAAACTGACATCATCCCTGGAGATGTATGCAATGCAATTAAAAGTCTTACGACAGAGTTGCAGAATACATCTAGTCACGTACACAAAGAAGAAATTATAAAAGGTGACTTGAAGGCAGCGTTAAATTCCCTCAGCCAGGCCATAAGTCAAACAACAGTTAAAGAAAAGGAAGAAGTTATAAAAGCTGACATCCTGGCAATACTGAAGTCGCTTGAAGAAGCAGCTTTTCAACTGAAAGAAGCAGAAAAGCCTGATGTCATACCTGGAGATATTAAGAGGACCATTGAGTCCCTTGAAAAGGCAATAAACACAAAAATTGAAGTTTTGAAAGCGGAGGTTGTTCAGGGAGACCTTGATTCAACATTAACGTCCTTAAAAGAAGCTCAGCTATCTTTCAAGGGCATAGACAAAGGAGATGTAATCAGCAGAGATACTCAGACTGTTGTTCAAAATGAGCTAGAAATCTGTGCAGAAAGGAAAATGGTACAACCTGGAGAAAGAGAAAGGAGTCATAGAGATATAAGAACTGCCAAACCACCTTTTAAACCATCTCAACAATTAGCGCATGGTAACATAACCCAAAATCTAGCAGAGTCTGTTAAATCTCACCATGAATGCTACCAGGAAATGCAGGTTAAAAACGAGACTTTTCTCAAAGAAACTGTAAAGGGTACTGGAAAGATACATTTAGGTCAAAAACAGAGTGCTGAATCTCTTGATATTAATATCGAACAGATGAAGTTACCTAACTCACAACAGAAGAGCACCAACAAAGTAGAAGAGTCAAGGGATAAAACCAGAGTCCAGCACAATGGAGAAAAAGACACAAGATCTCCTGTCTGCTGAACAACATAAGAAAAATCAGTCTACCTTCTCTGGAAAAGTTAAGAGAAATGTAAAAACAGAGAAATCAGAAACATGCAAAGCGCTGAGGAAAGAAAGTATGTCCAGCAGCATGCAGTCCATTGGAAAAACAACAGAAAAGAAACAAAATTTATACAATGAACAAAAAAATAATGAATTTTCCAGCAGAAACAATCAGAAGGAGATGGTAAAAACAGCAGACACGTCAGTAGGTGTTTATAACTCCCAATCCAAAACCACTCAGCAACCAATGAAGATGGCACCTAGTGAAATTTCTGAAGTGACAGACCGCTTTCAAAAGCATGTGCCACAGAGAGAGACAGAACAATCTCAGCACTGTAGAGAGGTGCTTGCCAGGAAAGAAACGAACAATGACCAAATGCAAGATATAGTATCCATGACAGCAGGACAGAGTATAGAAGACAAACAAGAAGTAAAACTCACACAGGAAACGCATAGTAATTTCAAAGAAACTGAGAGGTGGAAAAGGACTGATACTCATCAGCAAAATAAAAAATTAGTAGGACAGTTTATTGGAAAGACTAAAACAGAAGCTACTAAATCAGAGGCTCAATTTTCTGTAAAAACTCCTCTGAATCAAGCCAAGAACGTATTGGAGAAAGATACAACAGAAATGGATTCCCTATTCCCTCCTCCACCATCACTTCCTCCATCACCACCACCTTCTGTTACATCTTCTGAAAGTGAATTTCCTTTGCCTCCTCCACCGCCTCCTTTAACATCTGATGGACAGATGTTTCTTTCACCATCACCACCTAGAGAAACAATCAAAGCTGAGTTTGATCATCTTCCTCCTCCTCCACCACCACTACCAATAGATGACAAATCTGAAAGTGAGTTCCTATCAGGTCTCCCTCTCCCACCACCTCCCCCACATCTTGTGATTCCTCCCACAATGCAACCAAGGCAAAAGAAAAAACATATTCCTAAATATCCAGAAGAGTCACTGCCTCATTCAGAGCAAACTCATGTCAGTACTAAAGTGGCAGGTAAATCTATTGGTGTAGCATCATCACAAAACCTCATCAAAATGGAGCCCCCAAGGGGCCTGGAAGGTTTCAAGCCAAAAACGCCTCCTAAATTTGAACCAACAGTCCTTCAAATGCGCACAGAAACTGATATCACCAAAAGTTTGGCAGAAAGTAGAAAGTCTGAAACTCTGATGAATACGGTTAGCCATGAACAGAAACAAGAGAGCAGTCATACAAGAACCGTGGAAGGAAGACAACTTTCCTCTGTAACAGAAATGGCTAATTGCTCACCCAAGGCCGAGGAAGAGATATCAGCGGGCCAGAAAAAAAAGATTTTTCCAGTGATGAAATCTCCTTCTGTTCCTTCAGAGAACAGAACACAAATAAAACCTAAGCCTTATATTCAAAAATTTAAAACTCCATTAATGATAGCAGAAGAAAAATACAGACAGCAAAAGGAAGAGACAGAAAAAGCAGAAGTCAAAAGTTTTTGCTGTGAGCCAGCCAAAACAAGCAACAAGGTTCAGGGAAGTCCAGCTGAAACTTCATTACGAAAATCAAACAAGCAAGATCAAGGTCCTGCACAAGGTGCAGCAGCCCCTGTAACACCACAGAAAATTACAATTTCTGATTCTGATTTTCATGTCAATTTACAAGCAACAGGATGCAGAGGTGATAAAAAGCCATCTGCATCATTAGCTGTATCATCAGCTACCGAGCAGCTTCAGAAAGTTTTAAAAACCCCAACAAAAGATCATAATGGTAAAAAAGTACTACCAGGTACAAAACATAATGTATCATGTCAAATAGACAAAGTCCATCCAGATCAGACATTACATAAACCTGAGCAGCTGAAGAATGTGGAGCAATTGTGCAAGCCTGAAAATAAAATCACTCCCCCTACATTCAAAGTTAAAACTATTAAGCTTCCCATTGTAGAGCAGAGCTTACAGCAAACTTATAAAGGTTCTGAAATACACCAAAACCAGGAGGGAACTAAAGTTCAAAATGTTTTCACACAACACAATCAGAAGAAACAGAGAGAAAACGTAAGCCTTACCATCAAGAAAAAAGAAAAAACTGCAAAGCAAGATCACCAAGAGCACATTAGTGAGAATGTGCTAGCTGAGAAAACATATTCAAAATGTACAGAAAACATGCAAGAATTACAGAAACAGGACTTCAAACAGGTGAAACAAAAATTAGTTAGTGAAAAGGAAATAGGAGAAGGAGAATCCAGACATGAGAAAAACTTGCTGCATGAAGAAATAAATCAGGCCCATGTACCAGTTCATCCGGAGACAGACATGGTAACAATTCAGAAAAAACAAGAGCAGCCTAAGATTAAACCAGCAGCGAAAGCAGTCAAGGGAAAAGTAACTGACAGACAGCATGACTCTCAGACCCAAATTATTGAACAAAAGACTGTGTGTGTTTCTGAGAGTAGAGTCCAAAAAAAAAGTGTGTCCCAGGAACATAATAGTCTGCAAGAAAATGCATGTGTCAAAGACAAAGCCATACAAGTAAAACAAGGCCTCCTAAAGACAAAAGATCCAAAACAAGAGATTACACACAAAAAATCTTTATATTCTTCCTCCCCACAGCACACCGAGGAAAAACATGCAGTAAATATATTACATATTTTGAGAAAAAGAGAGGAACTACAGCAAGTTTTGTGCAGGCTGAAACAGTTTGAAGAGGAGCCAACTAAGAACGGTCTGAAAACATTTAAGACCTTTTTAAAAATTATCCCTGTCTGGCTAATAGATCAAGAAAGAAAGAAAAATATAGCTCATATTGTAACAGAAAGTAATTTTGAAAAAATGAAAGAAGAATTATCTGATATTAAAGATCAAGCAACAAAAATGCTTGCCTCTTGTGAAGATTCAATCCACACTGCTGTGTCCTCAAGCATAGTGAAATCCAAAAATAACAGCACTACTTATCAAGGCCCTTCCCAGAAATTATCAGAAATTACTATTGGCTCCAGTGAAAAAGACTCCCATAAAACCACAGGCCCTATTAAAGAAGAAACAGTGCATCATGAAGCTAAACAGCAGTCCAATGGATTTAGACAGACAGAATCCAGATCTTCTTCAGCACTAAGAATGCGCTCACCATCTCCTACTTACATAACAATTGAGTCTAGAAGGACAGACTCTCCTCTAAGGGAGACATCCTCTTCTCCTACCCAAAGAGAAGGGACTTCATTTCCTCTACTGCCCCACAGATCTGCAACACCAAAAGCTAGAATTCAACAGCCACTGTCTTCTCCCTCTTCTCTGGCTAAGCTGAAAGACACCACAGCAAAATTATCACAAGGGGCAACACAGCATCGAGCTGTAAATCCACTTCCGATTGTAGAAAAAAGATCAGAAATCGTTAAATCTCCCGCCACACTTCGCCGACAAATTAAAATTGAAATGCATGCTAGGAAACCTTTTTCCTCAGTAACTCCACCTGTATATGAATCTCAAATAACTGCTGGTACAGTAAAAGATATGAAAGAAGCACAAGAAAAAAGTAGACAAGTAGAGGAATACAAAGACCACTTGTGTCAAAACCGATTAAACATTCCAGAACACTTACAGTTTCAGAGTGAAAGTTTAGATTCCATCTCAGTGACACAAAAATTTGAGAGTCCTAGGATTGATCAGCCGGGGATTATTCATAAGTTTGAAGCATCGGAGACAGTAACACACACAAAAAATGAACCAACTACAGTAGTTGAGAGGTTAAGTAACGAAGGTGCATATGAAAAGGGTAAGTTATTAGGAAAATTTGAGGACAAATCCATATTTGAAGTTAAGTCAATGAAAAGAGATTTCAAAACTGGTGAAGTGAACAGCAATATAAAGGAGAGAACAGACATATTTAACCAAGATGAATTTGGTATGGACAGCCAAAGACAGAAAGCTAATTTTGAGAACTCTTCTTGCCGGCAGCAAAGAGAAACAAAACAAGATATATCTTATAAACCAGGGCAACGTGAAAATCAAGAACAGTCATTTCAACCTGCAATATGTTTGGCAGCCAAGTCCCATAATGAATATTCTTCTGGTAGGGATACATTAACAAACACAGTAGTTGAATCAAGAACTGCTACCTCAACTTCACAAAATGTTGATGGTATGCAGTCAGGATTTGGCTTCAAGCATGCCCCCCCAACATATGAAGATGTTATCTCAGGACACATTCTAGATATTTCTACTGCTGATTCACCAGAAGAGCTACTGAGAAATTTTCAGAAGACGTGGCAAGAGAGTGAACAAGTTTTTAAAAGTCTTGATTACACTGTCTCAGATACTTCTGAAACTGAAGTGAGAAGCAGCTTCCATGAGGAAGCAGAATATTTCAGTGGTAAATAAGCATGCAAAGTGTGAAGAAACTATAACAATTTTAGGCAGTATCATTCACCATCAGTGTGTTGTGCAGTAATGAATAATGTATTTATAATCAAACGATGAAATAACATAAAACTAACAAACTTTTCTTAACTGGTGCTGTCTGTCTCTCCTCTTGCCTCAGCAATCTTTTGCCATCTTCCCTTTCCAAGGGCATCTCCTTTAAGTGATGTGCTGAATGTGTGCCTAACAAATACTGACATGTTGAGTTTTGAGGCCTTTTTTGCTAAGGTAAATACTGTATTTGAACTGGTAGCATAAAAGATTACATAAAATCATTACTATTGTATTTGAGAAATACTAACATGTTAGAAAACATGCACAGTAGGCACCTGATTTTTAATGTTTGCAAATAATGGAACATGCTAGTAATTGAGATAATATGTTGCCTGTATAGTACAGCTGTAGAGATAAAATAATGTTCGTTTTCCATACACAATTGTTTTTAGCTTATTAAAGCACAAGATGTGAATTATAACAAAATGAACTATGTTTAGATAGGCTTCCTATTTGAGTAAAACCACTGAAACAGTTTACAAAATACCATGCAATTTTAAAAAATTTTTGCTACTTCCTGCTGGATGACTGTACCTATTGATCCAGCCCTAGTCTGAATTAAGGCTGTAAACCCACGTATTATCTGAGGCCTGACTACAGGTCTCACATCACTAAGGAACGGAACCACAGTCACTGAATTTCCTTCAAAAAAAACAGAGCCTGTTTGTTTTTTCATATTGAAGTATATGAAAATAAAATATACACTCTTTTCTCATGGTGCATGTATTACATGAAAAATGATATTAAAATAGTATTTAGATTACAAAGTTAGGCACTTGAAACTTAGAAAATATTACATTTGCCATTACTTGAGACACCTTAATACTTTCCCTTTGTGCATCTATTCTGAGCACTGAACATGGATAGGATCCTGTGGGAAAACCAGATGTCACCATAGCTTTGAATTAGCCATTTGAAATATATGAACAGAATACAGATGCTTGAACAGTAATGAAAATGGCAGAAAAAAGGCTAATCAATGCCTCACCCTGCATAATTTCTAAATATAAGGCTTGACTTTGGGTGTCCAGCTCTGTCCCCTGTGAAAAGAAGGGTGCTACCTGTGCTCAAGCTAGAAGGTAAAAGCAGAGTTGAGCATGAGTAGCTTGTGATCCTGTAAAATGAAGAACAGTCTGGCTGTGGTCCAGCAAAAGACATTAAGCACAGAGTTCATGTTGAGATCTTAAAGCCAGTAGGAATAGCCAGTACCAGTAGAAATACTGTCTCCTATAGGATCAAGCCTCTGGGTGTCATTTCGGATCTCTTCTATCTGGTAAATATTGGCGATTTTAAATAATAGACCAGCTTTATCCCAAATGACTTTCTAGAACTGCTCATTCAATTAATTTTCATGAAGATGAGTATTTGGTTCTGCTATGCAGTCCTGGAAGCTCCTTTAGCATAAACCTCCCCAAACACCAACAGTGACCTTTACACTTGCACTTTAATACTCCCTCTTTCTCTTTGCTCTTCTTTTCTATTGACTGTCACCTTCTAAGGCACAACACTTGCAACCAGCTATCCAACTAAAGTGTGACAGTCATCCAGTGAAACAGTTTTCCAGGAGACATCTGCCTTATGTTTTGTCTTCCCAATTACCCTACACCTTAACATATTATCACAAAGCTTGATTCTTTTCTCTTCTCCCTCTTTATACTCAGAATACTTCCATACATAAAAATATTAATTTAAGTGAATCCTTATGGTTGGCTCACACAACCAACATCATCAACAACACAATCTATGCTTGGACAACCAGGAGACATGTAGAAATGTCGGCTGGAATTCAGCATCTGCCCAACCTCAGTTTGTTGGTCCATTCTGAAAATAAATGGAAGCTAAATTTCAAGATTTCTATTTCATAATCAGCAATTCTTTGGGGTTTTTTGTTTGTTTTTACTAGTGGTTATTCTTTTTAAAAGTTCTAGATTATTTTGAAGATATCTAATTTTCTTTTAGTATTTTTCATTATGGATAGTAGAGATATGTGGTAACTACAGCTGTAGTTACAAAATCTACACCACTTTTCTGTCTTGATTTATGAATTGCTATAAAATCAACCCCAGCAGGCAAACTTAAAATAGATAAAATGCTGTAACGGACCAAATTTTCTACTGATGTCAAGGGGCATTTCTCTGCTGGTGTCAGTGAAGATATATCTATTTCAACAGCGCTCTGGTCCATGCTTTGTATTTGCCTGCTAGTACAGTTTTAATAGCAATTCATAAATCCAGACTGAACAGCAGCACAGATTTCTCCAAGCTCAACAAATTGTCCATTATCTCCTCTCTTCTGCCCCTTACTGGTACAGAATAAACCTTCTATATGTTCTTCTGCAGTTTAGAGAAAACTAGTTTCCTTTATAATTAACTACACTTCATAGAAGAAAGGCTTTGATATAGGTAGCTAAGATTGTGACTGTAGCTAACTCAGTCTTGAAACGGAACAACCAGGTCTCAAAATTGCAGAAATCACAAATAATTATGTCCATAGCATATCTGGATCATAGGAGTGTACACTTTGCAGGTTACCAGAGAAGTGGAGCTCTTTCATGTCCTTTTGGCATGATTAAGCAAAACTTCCTCATCTGAATTTCAAACATCTGCCCCCCTGATTACATGTCTCTAAATCATACTGTAGATTCATAGATTATACATACATTAAAAGGTTTATTAATATAAGTGGAACTGAGTTATTATACTATTTCATTTCACAAAATAAATATTTATTAAGAATAAATGGGAAATCCCGCGTGTGAAAGTGAAGTGAATAGTTCTTTCAAATGTATGGATTTCTGAATAGGAAAAGGTGAGTAGTTTTTCACTTTCAAAGTATTACTGTTAGTTACACAAATGGAACCCTAAAACTGATAGGTGAGATATCAGTACACAGATAAACAGAAAAAAACCTAAAACTCTGAGTACAGCAAAACATATTTAACATGGACTGATAAAACTAAATCATAATATTTGGCTACAGACTTTTTAATATCTATAACGTAATTTTTTAATATTTGATTCTAGAAACTGCAGCTTCAGGAAAAGGAAATATGTGCACTTTGTCAACAGAGAGTTTATCCAATGGAATGTCTAGTTGCCGACAAGCAGAATTTTCATAAATCATGTTTCCGATGTCACCACTGTGGCAGTAAATTAAGGTAAGAACTAAATGCATGTTCATTCACAGAAAATCTGCATCTGAATATAAACAGAGCTAGTGATGTTATTTTCATCTGGGCTATTCAGCCTATAGGACGTTGGGTTGACCGGGAAGTGACCTGGATTCCCCTTCTCTTCTCTGCTGCTAATCTCTGCTTTGTGCCTTGGAACAAGTCCTTTAAATTCTCTAAAGAAAAGCTTAATCCAAGTATGTTCTGAATTCTGGTGCATAGTATTTCTTCCTACTGGCTATTCTAGACCTTCAGGAGAGCTCATAAACAGGAAGCAGGAGACCCAGAAACTTGGTTGGAATTTAAGCTATCTGAATGTAGGCCAAATTTTGTCTCACTTTTCCTCATACGTAAATGAACAATGATGGTTCTCTGCCTTAGCAAAGCACTCTTGTAACCTTCCTATGAAACGTAACATTAATTGCTGTGATTATCATGCTGGAAAGGCTAGCAGTTCTTAATCTTAACACCTCTGCGGTTAGTTACACAAATTTCCTCGACTTCATTTGGGAGCAGAATTCAAATCTAACTGAACACAAGTGTGGCTGAATCTTACAATTCAGTACAAAGGCTAAAGAAAAATGGCACTGCAGAACATATTTTCTCCTATTCTGTAGAAAGATAGAGGCTTCAGTCTTCTATGCTATGAGGAAAAAAACCCAAAAACAAAGAAAAAACCCCAGCCCCAAAATGCTGTAGAACATTTCTATTTGAAGCTTATGTTGTACAATAAATGAATAAGTTTATGTTCTTCCTAAATCACAAAAGCATGACTCTTCTCCTTCTAGAAACTGGTTAATTTTAAAATTGTGTGAGAATATGCAAATAAAAGTTTTAAATACTGTTTTTTTTTTTTCCTGTTTAGAATTGTGCAGTACATTGAATTTGGTCTCTTTTTACTCCTTCTTTCTTTATATATACTGTCATATAAGGGGACTTGAAAAACCAAGTGTAGTGTCAAATTCATGATAGATTTATGATTTCTAGAAGTGTGAAACAATTTTTTTTTCTATTTGGCAGCTTGGGAAATTATGCATCTCTCCATGGACAAATATACTGCAAACCTCATTTTAAGCAACTTTTCAAATCCAAAGGAAATTATGATGAAGGTTTTGGACACAAGCAACATAAAGAATTATGGAATTCTAAAGATCAAGGTAGCTCAGTTGGCAATATTCACGCTGAAGAAATAAATCCCATTAATGGTACACTTGTTGAACCTAAACTAATTACAGAAATTGATCAAGACATTTACTCAGGTACTGAATGTATCCATCCTGAGATTTTGGATGATCATTTGAAAAAATCCACAGAAAGAGGTAAATTAAAAATTACGTGGCCTCCCTCAACAGATGATGCAACACCTAAGAAAACATTTTCTGTTGAAGAAGTGTCTAAAGTGCATAAGCCAAAGTGGCCCCCAGAAGGTTTCGCTCAAGAGGATTCTAGTTTACATGCAAATAAACCTCTGGGCAATAAAAAGGAACCTCAGAAAGAAAGTGCCCATAGTGATCTGAGAGAGCAAAAGAAAAATGACGTTGCAGATGCACAACAAAATCAACACTTATCCTTAAGCTCTGTGTCTGAAAAAGAAGCTACAAGTGTCTGTGAAAGAAAGACAAGCGAAGCAGGCAATAAGGAAAAAGATGAGGAAACTGAGAACGTGCAAGATAAGCCAAATAAAACAGGAGGATCACAGATTAGGGAGGGAAGTGTTAAGGATATTAATGAAGGTGTGCACAGTGCTGAGAAGGAACGAGAGAAAAAAATTAATGAAATCGATAATGTAGAAGTTGTACAGGTTACTAACATCGATGATGAAACAGTACAAAAGAATCATAAACAGTTCAGCTTGAATAACAATAGTAATAATAATAATAATTACACCACTTTTTCACATATGAACATTTGTAGCCAGGAAACATCTCTCTCAACTATGTCTAACCCAATGACAAAATTGAGCCATGAAATTTTCACTGCATCTCAGCATGCATTCAAAAAGCTGGAAAATCAGTCTGGAAATGAAGAAATATTTGAGATATATGAATCTCAAGAGAGCTATTCTAGCGATACTGTAACTGTTTCATTGGATGAACGGAACTCCAAAGATAAGAATGCTGTTACCTCTAATAGTCTTGCTCAATTTAGTAAAGATGCCACTTGTCAGAAGTCTTGTACTACTAGCATATCAGCTTTAAAGGAGGCCACTAATACAACATTCCCTATTGATACGGAGTTGGTATGCACTGAGGAAGAATCAGACCACGACAAAAATATAAATACTATTTTATCTGACACTGTGAAAACATCTTTTCTCAATAAAGACAGCCTGGTTTTAAATGTTGATCTAGTAGATTCTGTAGACATAACTAAAAGTTCTTCCAGCCCATACTCAAAAGAACACGGGAATGATGATCTGGAACTGAATGTCTGTCAAGAAGGTGAAATAATCAAAGTGTCAGAGAACGACATAAGCAGAAGTTCAGATTTACTGAGCTCAAGACATTCAGCTGTTCCATCATGCCAAGGAGAGAAAGTTAAGTCTGAACAGCTCACTGTAGAAGAACAAATTAAAAGAAATAGATTCTATGATGAAAATGAATAAAACAGCTAAGTAATATTTATCACTCATTATAAAGTATGTGGTAAAATGTTATTCAGGTCTGCACTTAATGGTTTAGGCATTTATTCAGTCCAGTTATTTTATAGTCCTTCTTAAAGAACTTAATATCCAGAACTTAATATCCAGAGATTGTATATGAAGATTTGTATTATATGCTGTCAATTACTCAGACTATTTACTTAATTGACATTTACAGCAATGAAGAGGCAAAAATTAGCACTTTTTTCAGTTTGTGATGAAAACAACTTGTATGTCTATGTTGCAAGGAATATCTTACAATATGACTGTCCTGCCGAAACATAGTAATTCAATTTTATTCTTCATCATTTGTAACAAATTAAGAGGTGAAGCACCTGGTGTGCACAAAATGATGAAAAATATTTCCACAACTTTTTTTTTTTCCATTTATTATTATTATCGTAACTAAATGAGCTGTTGCTTCATGACATTTTATGTACATTTGTTTTGCTAGCTTATAGTAGAGGATTTTTTTTCCAATATCATGCAGTAGGTAGTTTGAAATGGAGTAGTTACTGAATGGTAACCACAATTGGTTGGCAAGTAGTACTGTTTTGCTATATTCCTAGAATTACTATGGCATTCTATTGCATGACAGAAAAAAAAAAGTGTGCAAATTATAAAGCAAATAGCATAAAGAACATCATAGTCAGAACTGGAACAATATTCAAGACTTGGGAAAACTGGGTAACTAAGACTAGTGATTGTTTTAATAACTAATTCAAAATGATTTTAATAGAAGCAACTCCCCAGTTTCATATTTAAACCTGTAAACACTTCTGCAGATTTAACACTGTTTGAATTATTATCTATTTGCTCTCTTAACATTATTCTAGCTTGCATGAAACAGCAACATATCATTTAACTTTTGACAATGCATAATAAAAAAAGCACTTCACAACATGTATTTTGTGAAGTTTTTTTTTTAAAATGAATAGACACATATGGTTTTCCTTGAACAGTCTGTGAAATTCTTCATGCTAAAGCTACTTTAATCTAAGTTCGTCAGAGTGAAAGCAAAAGAAAATGAAAATACAGCTTTCAAAATTATTTCTAAACTACCTGTCAGAGGTACCTGTTTGGAATAAGTTAGTTAGGACTGGCTAACATTGAAATGTTTAAGAAATTACTGTGCAGAGTTCCAGAACAAAATACCTGCTGCAGTACAACACATTGCCCAAAGGAACGTGCTTGTGGGCGGGTGGGATGTCTGCATATGACTCTTCATCTACATAGAAATACCTAAACAGAATATGCAGGGAGAAGAGCTGCATACAATATTTCTCTTTCAGGAGAATACTTTGAAGAGTGAAACCTCCCCTTCATGCATCATGCTTCGCTCCTCTGCAGTACTCTTATGAAATGTAAGCAGCATAGGAAAGATCTCTTAAAAATAAATGTTACCAGAAGTATAATTAGCTTTCACACAAGACACTCAGATAGTACTGTGTTCAATAATCTTGTAAAAAGTATTAGCCTATAGATCATGGTGAAGTGAACCTGCTGGCAGATACATATGAGCAACAGAACAAGAGAAATCCTTACTCTATTCAATTTAATGACACTGTCTTCCCACTTACCTTACTCAGTTTGTTTTCATGCAAACTCTTTCACACAGTCACTCACTACAGTAGTTAAAGTTTGTCTGAGAAAATTCTGACCAAAGACATGAGCATTTAGCTAGACATTTTAAAACTATTTTGGCAAGGTTTATTTTGATTCCTCTTTCTCTCACAATTCAATTATTAAAAATAAATTATAAAAACCCAGAAGATTTGTAAATAGAACAGAATGACTTTTCTTTCTTTGAGTTACTAATATAACAAAAATAATCAACAAAAAATTGCTGCTAAAACAACAAAACATTTCTCAGAAAATACAAACTGTAAGAAAGTGAATGGAATTTGTCTAAAATATTTAGAGCTCCGTAACGGACTAATCTTTCAAATCTCCCCCTTTCCCCACTATCACTTATTAGATATAAGTTTAGTTTTGACTATATTAGGAATAAAGAATGATCTGTTAAGGGTAAAGTGGTATATGTGTGTCTACATACACATGCATAGGTGCGATCACGTGAAAGTTAACTGTTCAAGTATAAAGCTGATAAAGTTGCAAACTTTGTACTGTAGTCTTGTGCCAGTTTTTTATTCTCTGGCCTATTCTGATCAAATTAAACTTGTATCCTACAACTTAAAGGAATGAGATAGGTATCAATTATGATAATACAAATTCATTTACTTACACTAAAAATTAATACCTCTATTAGAAAATAACCTTAGGAAATACCAAACTTTCTGCTTCTGCTAAACAAAATAAGGATTACACCAAAAATAATTCAAAGAAAAAGCAATTTCGGTACGGCCAGAAAGAGACAACTCTGAAGGACTTAATGAGATAGCAGAAAAAAGGACCATAGGGTAATATTTTTTCAGAGGGAATAATGCATAGTCAACATATAGAAATGACATACCATACAGGGCAAACCTCCCTGGCTATTCTGTGATTGGGATTCTGCTTAGCATGGAACACAGATGTACAAAGTCTTCCTGAGGTAGACTCATTAGCTTTGCACTATCTTCTCTCAGTGGCTGGACGTTTTCTTGTCTCCAGCAGTGAGGATTAATATTAAGGAAAAAATTAAATGATATCACGTGCTTATTTCTTTGAAACACAAGCCAAGTTTCCCATCATACTGTCTTGAAATGCTTACACAAATCATAAGGGTGGCAGCCTGCACACCTGTTTTAGAAAGCTAACAGCCATGGCTAATCAAGAATTACAAAAGAATGTAAATTACCTAGAAAAAAAAAAAAAGAAGTACAATGAAGAGTTCTTCATAACTTCAGCCAAGACCTTAAAGCGGGATTCACCAGAGAAAACGTGAGATTGTAATTCATTGAGATATGTGTGTGTCTTTCTCTCTTTTCCACGGAAGGCAAAGGAGATGGGAGATGGTGTATGCCTGAGTCATCTTAATGTATCCATCCATACATTACCATTGCAGAAGTCACACTCTAGTTGTGAATGCAGATAGCAGCTGAAAGTGAAATTGGGATAAAAGTTGTAGTTAGAAGGTAGCAGCCTTACAGATTTTCTTTAAAATAAATGCTAAATGAATACTAGCTCCTTAGCTGGCAAAAAGCCTCATAGCCTCATGCATTTCAGGGAAACACAGAGATTTATAGCAGCTGAGGAGCTGGTCTTGATGGAAAAGGAATAGCATCCATAAATGCTGTACATTTTGTGAGAGGAAATGTCATTTTAAGTTTTAATATCTCTAAGTTAACCTTTAGGCTTTCTAAGTTTAAGTAACCAGTCATCAGTTCGTAAAAGTCCCACTCTGTGAGAAGGAGAGGTCTGATGGTTCTTGAAAGGGATCATGGTACTGAAACCCCCATTCTGCCAGCAAGGTAACTTCCTCTGACTGGTACTAGGCTTCACCCCTTACCTCATGGTCAGGCTA